TTGTAATTTTTCTGGGGCATACACCCATACTGGGGTGGAAAATCTATTTGTCTACACGTATAATAAAATTATTTTTTGATTTGTTTAGACTATTTACGTTGTCGACATTCTGCTTTTAACATGTTATATACATGATTAACTCTATCTCCTATGGTTAGCGTATCGCGTCTAGGGTTTTCTAACCATTTTTCCCATATTTTAGTTCATACGCTTCCAGGTAACTTCTGAAGATATCGATCAAGTAATGTTTTATCACCTGTTTTACCAGTGGCTGCAAAATACTCAAAAAACTTATTGGTATAGTTTTTTATGTATCTAAAATCACAAATCTATAGTAATTCTAAATTACGTAAAGCTTCGTTTTGTTTTATTAAGGTGTCATCTAATAATCTGTCTTCACCAATTAATACTTTTTTAATGAGGCTTGTAAAGCCTTGAATGGTAAAATTATCACGTAAGATAGCATAATCATTTGGATAAATAACTTTATAAGCCTACCACCAGTCATGAATGGTTCCTCTTAATAAGGTTTCACAATAGGTTAAGGCTTGAGTTCTATTGTCAAAATTGGTCAAAATAGATTGCCTAATACAATCTTGTTCCCAGTTTTCGATTACCTTTGCCCAGTCTTGGGGATCGTGCCTAGCTATGTCTAATATTGTTCCTGATGATTGTGCTGGTATATTTTCATATTGTCTACAATATTGTGTTAAGGTGTACATATCTGGTATATTTCTATTTTCTACATAAGTTTCACGTGAGGGATTTAATCTTTGTCCAGTAGTAAAGTCATCACTTAAGGTATTACTACCTGAGGTATTAGTCTTTCTTTGGTCACTCATTTCTTAGTCGATTGAGTGAGAGCCTGATCCTTCTGGTGCTTTCCCTTCTCTATGCTCTATTACATTTAACTCTTCTTTTACTGTGTTTAATTCTAATGCTGTATAGAAGGATTCAAATCCGACACTTATAATATTTTTCTTAATATCATCATTAGTTCCTTGTCCTAAATAAATACTTTCGATAAGTTGTTAATTAGGTTCTGGATAATTGTCTTGTAATGCTTCAAATTCTAAATTATCGAAATCGTATATTATTTTATCTAGAATTTCATCGTCTAATATATCATAAATGACATTTATTTTTTCAGGAGATTCTATTTCTATTAGTGTAGTTAAGAAATCTTCTTGAGTATCATCAATTAAATTGTCTTGTCTTTTATAATTACTAAACCTTATGCTAGCATCTCCGCTATTTGAAACATATATCATCTTATTTTCGGGAATCTTTTTAGGTGTAATAGTAAGTTTAGGTAATTTCCATTCTGTTCCTTCATGGGTAATACTGCTTACTTTTCTGGCTTCTATCATTTGGACATATTTGCTACTAAAAGGTTTAACTATTTCACTAAATTGGGCTTTAAACTTTAAGTTATACTGATTAACTGCCTTACCCATAAATAAAGTATTAACTAATAAATTTTCAAATTGTTCGATCATATTATATCCTTTTGTAGATATAGCTATCTTAATATGTTTACTGAATTCTTTGGTAGTCATCGTGTAATTGGGAATACATCCTATTATTGCGGCATTGTCGGCTAAGTCTATCTCAGCGCTGGCTATTTGTGCTTGTTGATGGTTATTCCATCGATCATCATAAATATAAGCAAGTACTCTAGTTCCGGTTTCTGCTCTGTTTTATCCTACTAATCCTATCATTATGACACCTAAATGCATAAGTTCTAAATTATTATCATTTAATTCTTGGCATGCTTCGGGTGTCATATGGTCTAAAATTACTTGATTGTTAACTGCACTTATTTTTCTTTGACTAAAATGATTATATATCTTGCTCTGAAAATCTAATAAATTATTAGAATAAAGATTAATTTTATTTTTTACCTTCTTCATTCCTTATTCTATATATTTTTTAGCATCATGTTCATTATCATATAAATCTTTTACTCTCATTATTTCGTTGGTTTTTCTAAGGATAATGGCCATTGTGGTATTTGCTTATGAGGTTGAAGTTGTAATAAATTTACACGCTTGGCTATTGTAGGAGAGGACTGGTTATTGACTGACAATTATATTTCTTTTATTTTATCTGATAATTCAGATAATTCTTTTGAAGATTCTCTGGGAATACTTTCTTGTATTACTTTTAATTTTTCTTCAAGTTTATTAACTTTATCAGATAACTGGAGTAATAGCTGAATTAAAAAGTTATTTTGTCTAATATGTATATTAGTTGACTGTACGTCTGTTTTAAAGCTAGTAAATCTTATAGGTTCTTTATCAATTTTGTAAAGTTCAGCTAACGCTGTTAAATATTCAGGACTACTGGTGCTCATAAAACTATTGTAATAATTTTTGGATATCGGTTTTAAGGGATTTTAAAGAGTCTAGGATTATTTTTTGGTTTTCAGCAATATTTTTAATATTACTATTGATATCTTTAATTGCGACAAATATTATCTTGTTATCTAAATTATTTGGACTAGAATTCTGTACTACTTGTTCTTTAATATAATCTAAATTTTCTCCTAATCGCTTTATAGAAATATCTAAATTATTAAAGTCAAGTCTATTCATAAACTAAAATCGTTAACGTCTAGCTTCTAATATATTTTGTATTAATATAATTCTAGATCTAAGTTCTTCAATTCTTCTTTGTAGACTATGTGTGGTGTCTCCTAATTCTAGTGCTATGTAGCAGTTCCTAAGTGCTGTTTGACAAAATTCTAATACTTGAATAAGTTATTCTTTGGGTAAATTGTACATAAATTAAACTCCTAGGGGTGAAAATATAAATTCTGCTTAATAAAGGGCTAGAATAAAACTTGATTAATGTACTTGTAAATATGTAAAAGGTAATATACCTAACCACTTTACTGTAAAAGTCCCTTTTATTTATTTATTAATATGTCATCAGCATATTGGTTCTGCGGCAAACTCTTCTTGTTGAGAAGTTGGTTACCAGCCCTGTTGACGTGGAAAATATAGTATCCCAATGCGTTAAACTGCTCTATGAGCATTTGGATTGCGTAGAAGATGTGGGTATATCAGAAATTGTTGAAAAGATCAATGAGTTCTTGGAAGGCGGTGACTCAGGCGTGTGGGGTCAGCTCTTCTTACTGATAAGGTAGTGGAGGCTGTGGAAGTGTTCGTTGTGGCGGCAACAGTGTCGGGCAGTGTTCACCGAGAATGGTATGAACAAGTGCTCAAGAACCTGTAATTTTTATTCCCGAAAAAAAATTAAAAGCAAAATATAAAAAAATCTGTGATGCTCACATTCTCTTGAACACATTGTTTGGATGTATATCTGAGACATAGTCTGCAGTTTGAAATGTATTGTACATGTATATAATATATATCTACACGATATTACTATCAAAAAGGGTTTGTTACTTGTTAGTCCTTGTCCTTGAACTGGTTAATGCAGTTGGTAAGTTATGTTTATCATTTCTAGGGATGGTTCTTGTTCATTCAATTTCTTTGGTAGCTAAAGTAATCTACTCTAAATCATCATGTTAAGCCAATCATGATGTTAAGCCCTACAGCAAGGTACAATGGTTTGCAATTGTGGTATCAGTTACCGTTGTGGTGTAATGGATTAGAACGAATATCGGTTTACCGTTCGGACCCTAGAAAAAGGGTTGCTAACCCGTATCGACCGATACGGTGAGCCATGTTTCTCTTACCTAATCTTAGTGAAACTTAGAATACGCTAAACCCAGAATACGCTTTCGCTGTCTTGCAAAATTATCAATTGAGGTTGTAATTGAATTTGTCAAACATCAATCTAAATTTTGATTTTCAACTAATAAATATATTGTTAATTACACACGAGCATTTACTTACCAGTGGTTCTGGTTATCAACCTTGTGAGCCAACTCATCGCAAGCTGCAGGAAATTACTGAGTTTTGAGTTGTTCGCAAGTCTTTTATGGCGGTTTTAACCCAATTTAGAATTAACAAATGATTATCTGATTTGTGTGTGTTTGGTTAGACATTCTATTCACCGATCTAACAGCTTCACGTAGTTCGTCGTGATAAATTTTTCTTCCTAAATTGGTCATAGCGAATCCTGCAACAACAATGTTATATCAAACCACACGGACGCTTGATTATGGCATGCTCCTATATTTCAATCAGGGTGTTTCACAGAACATTAAGCTCCAAACCACCAAATGTTTGATTTGAAAATTTTCTCCTAAAATTCAGAAACTGATGAAATGAAATTGGTTGTCCCGGTCTGAGTTTAGTGTTGATGTAGGAGAGAATGCAGATCAATAAACTTGAGTTTCGACAACATTTGGGCATTGATATCCCAAAAGTTGTGTCCTGAGATGGCAAAGAGCAGTGAAAGTAGAATATCAGCTGGCTCCACTTAAAGGTTTCAACCGGATTTGGCTTTACAGGCAAGGCAACATGTCAAACGTTGAATCTGATAGTAAAAATATACGAACCACTGGGTTACAACTTGCAATCCAGGACAACATACTTGGTTCTTCCACTATATGAATAAAAAAAGCTATAAAAAAATCCGTCGAATGAATCTCCCGTTTCATATTCTATTGTTTCACTCGTATCCTTTATCCAGTGAAAATCGACTTACTTTTTGATTCTTTTCTTTTTCTATTTTACTTTCACTCGGTCACCTTTCAGTATTGTCTTCGAGGTTCAAACACGTCATTGCTCCAGCGACACTTCAAGAACCTCCATGGCGGAAAAGGACAACTGACCGGTAGAGGGCAGCGACATGAAAGAAGCAGATGAGCACGATAATGAAATCATCCAAAAGACCAACTAGTCCCACTACCCCTGTTGAAAAACACAATAGTTCATGATGTTGGATCGAGTTTGCACTCGTTCAGTCCACAATTAAAAAAAAAAAAAATTCAACATAATAGAATCACGGCAAGCAACATGCATACCTTCAGGAATAATGTCCAAAGGGCTGATGAAGTAGATAAAACTTGCTAGCATCTGCACACAAAGAAACACACAACAATCTGTAAGAAAATAATCAATGATCATCAAATTGAGAATACATCGAATTAATTATATAGAGAAAATAAGTTTGTCATCCATTCACGCTTCATGGCCATGGGAAATCACATCATCGGGCAGTTAAAAGAATTGCAGACTTATCAGTCAGCTGCCGATGCAATATATACAGGTGTACGTAAGCTTACTACGGCGAGGTGGGAGCAAACCTGCATCGGGCAAATCATCTAACAATTGGAATTCAGTTATTTTCTCCCATATTTTTCTGCAATCAATTGGTGGGAGTTCTATTTATTTATTTTCTAATTTGGTTAGATGGGACAGGTTTTGGCAAATCAATCAGTCCATTCCTAACAACTAATTCACCCTCAGATGTAATCTATCAGATGCACTCTACTCTGCCAAGAAAGGCTGTCAAAGTTAGAAGAAATTTTACGATGCCCCAATGCCCGGAGCTGGATCAACAGACTAAAGTTTATAATTGAAATAGTTGTCACCATTTCCACATTTTTAACCTGCTTATCCTTTCCAGTATCAATAAATTTCTTTAACTAAAATAAATACGGAGGACATACAACAACAAATAATTGCTCACAAGTATTTTTTTCAATTATTTAAAAATGTCGTATCCCCTTATTTTTTTTGGAACCATAGGAAACATTTTGCTTTTAATGGTCATCCTCCTAATAATTTTTTGTATGATAGAAAAATCTATTTGTAGTATTGATGAAACAAAAATTGATGGCACTAAGTTCTCCTTGAATTGAATTACTTACCTTACCCCAACAACAAAAACTTCTCCTTGGAAAAAATCCTAGAAGCTAAGGTATGAAAGAGTACACCCATGTTGTGTGAAATCCTCCTTGCCTATTGAAAATAAAATTTTGGTGGCTCGAAGGGGCTTAGTACAAAGAAATAGTAGGTGAATTGTGTATCACAAGATCAGCAAAAGTGACAGCTCGTATGTCTTCAAATATGGCATCGCTTCTACTCTTGAATGTGCGGTTTTGAGGAAGCATTACTAAAAGAATGAAAAAATAAAGAGTACTTCAGCACTAGTCAATACAGAGTACTTGAGCACTAGTCGAGGATTTGTTTCTAGGTCAACCGTGTTCCTTTTTCTCATATTTATCAACAAGCCTTTTCTGCTAGTATACTTACTGACATGCTAACAGAGATTGGATGCTTCACGGAACTGAGACTTCTCTGATGTGGTTATTGTCAGTGATCCTTGGGTGGAGGAGATGAATGATGCTTGTCTATGGTGTTCACTTTCCTCGTTGTATTATGATTTAGGAAAAATTACCAATAAGTATTACTTTTCATTTAAAATACCAATAAGTCCTATCAAGTTTCAACAAGATAGTTAAATGCTACTTCTAAAACCTTTTTATCCATATCCATTCAAAATATATTTTGAAATTACAATTTATATTGAAAAGTTAATATAAAATCCAACACCTTTCTTTTTTTTTTTTTTTTTTTTTTTTTTAATTAACTATCTAAACATATTTAATATATTTTTTTTGAGCAATTTGATTTTCCATCATTGTAATTCTTTCATGATGTATAAAAGATATCTATTTATTTGTTCAAATAATTTAATAACATTTAAGCGATTGTCTTTTATGGTATTTTTAATTTTCAGTGGCAAAATTTATCAACGTCATAACGAAATAACTATGCAAGATTTTCTATATTGAATTGAATTAAATTAAATGTTTTGAGTCATAAATCAATACTGAGTAATTAAATGAAACTTCACAAGAACGTAAAAGAATAAATGTAAAATTTTGAACTAAAAAACTAATAATGAACTCAAAAAACTATAACTACAAATTACAAAGGGTAAAAATGTATTTGAGAGATTTAAAAATAATGTGTAACCACTTATTAAAAAGTAGGATTTAGTTGTCTTATCGAAAATTGTTAGTACTTGTAAGTCTTTTAAAAGGAAAAGTAGGACTTGTTAGTAATATTTCCTAGGTAAATTACACTCACCTCCTCTGAGGTTAGAATTACACTGCGTTCCCTCGTGGTTTTCATAATTACACCAACTCCCTTGTCAGTAATGTCCGTCAGACTCTGTTACAAAAATTTGACGAAATTGCACTTATGCCCTCTATTGGAGTATATTATTCTTCATTTGTCAAATGAAAAATGAAAAAGACACAAATACCCATTGTTCTAGATTATACGAATCCTAACTCCATGGCGTCGAGCCCGAAAATTCTTCTTTTGTGTCTCAATTGATTCTAATTAAATTGATCAAAACACTGCTGGATAATCTCTAATCACCAGCTCTATTCATGCATACACTTTCATATAGTAAGCAACACTCTTAGTGTTTCATTACCGTTCTTCTTTGTTTTAAATTATCAGCTTGCATATTTTGTGGTTTCTGGTTGTTTGTTCAAATATTATAGTTTAATTAATTGTGTGATTGTCAAATCTGGGAATACTTGTTGAATTGCACTGCACAATCAATTAAATACAAACTTTATATTTAATTTGTAAACCAGTTTTACGTTCTAAAATAATTTTAAAAACCGAAACCCGGAATCAAAACAAATGTTCGATATAAAAAGTATAAGATTTAGATACTAATTAAATGATAAATATAATATGCACCAAACCGTTTGAGAGTATCTTTACCTTCTCTCAATGAGTTCGAGTCGGCCATGGGTGAGAATCAATGGAGCTTTGAAATTCTCAAAGGAGCAGAGAATACGAAACTGGACGAAGAGGATGATCACCAAGAAGAAGATAATGAAGAGGAAGCAATGAAGAGTATATATTTTAAATACTTAAATACTAATAAATCTAACAAGAAAATCACTGCATTGAATTTGTTTCCAATGGTACTTCCAAGTTTATCAGATATCACCAGTGTTCCATCCTCAACATACACAAATTGGATGAAATTAATTCTGTTATCACTGTGAGAAATATAAATCTGTATAATTCTGATCGGCCATAATCCCAAACTTTCCCAAATAGTCTAACCAATTTTGATCATGATTTGTTGAGCTTTGGAGAATCTTCAGTGTGCGTGTTATATAAAGTAAGAAAAATAACATTGATATTTAGATGTTGGTTTATCACTAAGGATCATTTTATACTCTTTAGATTTTATTTTCAGTAACTTAGCCTGCAACACACATGCATAAATCGTAATTTCTATAATTTTTATGCATATGTATTTAGGTATATATATGAATTTGAGAGGCATTGGAGAAGTGGTGAGTCTGGCCTGAGAAAGTACCATGCCATGAAGAGAAACAGAGAGTTGGGGAACAAACAGAGAGTAAGAGAGACTTGTGAGGGGGAAACAGAGATAAAGTTAGAGAGCGAAAGAGAGTCGAAGAGTTAAGAGAGGAAAATAGTCGGGTACAGATTATTGATGGGGTAGGTGGGGGCATTTTCGTCATTTTAGGGTAGACCAAGTGAGGGTATTTAAGTACTTTTGAAAAAAAAAAGTAAGGGTAAACATGTCTTTGTTCCTCTTTAAGGGCATTTATGCTTACCCTTCGATGACATCAGCGAAAACATCGACTTACGTTGACGTTTAACGTAAGGGGGAATCTGTTACTGACTTTTGAACCTCAAGGGAGTTCAGAGTAATTATTGATACCACAGGGGAACACAGTGTAATTATGCTGAACCTGAGTGTAATTTTTCCTATTTCTATGATTTATTAGAGAGAAAAACTGACTAAATAAGTGGCAAAGAGGATGCAATCCAATCTAAGAACACGGTCAACTAGGCAAAAGAAAACAACTAAACTAATCCAACCCCTACTCATGCTACCTAGGACGTCTACAGAAAGTAAGTAGATAGACAACCCCCAGGACCCCGATCCATCAAGGAGGCAGATTCAACAAACAAAGAACAGAACAAAATATGCTTTATTTAACATAACAAGTTTGAATTTTTCAATCCCTCAAACAAACATCTATTCTCTTACTTCCAAAACACAGACATACACACGCACGCACAAAGAATGATACAGGGGCAGCTCGCATACCAATCTAACTCCCTCACAGGCCAACCTCCTGGACTAACATTTCCAACCAAACCAGACCCCAAAGAATATCAGATAGAAAAAAAAATCAGGTCCACCAGTTTCTGGCACTGATACAAAATAATATTTCTCGCCCATGCCAAATTATCAACTGGTAAGAATTTTCTCCTATAAGATGTCCGTACAAATAATGCCCACTTTTGACACAAAAATTCCTATCAGATGTCCAGGAGAAGAGTGTTAGGGTTGCAATCTTTTAGTGAGGCCTTGGTTTTGGTAGATTAACAGTAAAAACATTAGAAAACATTTTCATTTCTTTATAATAGAAGTTTCAGGAGGTGGATCTAATAAAATTCTTTATATAAGTAAAAACATTTCATAACCCACTGAGTGCATAAAATAAGAAGACAATATAGGTAGAAGTGTTATATTGAAATTTTGCCCATTTCCTTTACATGTAGATTTTTAAAAACAAGGCTCAAATTGAGGTTTTTATAAGTTTTGGGGGCACATATAAATTATTTTCACTATTATGTGATTAACTATTTATAGGAGGCCTATTTTTTTAGGGATTTTACAAAATCTTGGAGGGGCTACATATTAAATTGTTTTACTATTTTGTAACTGGATATATATGAGGCCCTTTTTAAAGGGATTTTGAAAAAAAAAAATGGCGGCTTGGTCCCATATGGTTTTGCCCCTGCCCGGAGGGGCTCAGTGACAGCAAATCCTCTTTAGTCCCTACCTTCCATGATGGAAGTGCCATACAAAAGTCAAAGAACATATCCATGACACCAAAACCCAATCCTAGACTGTGATAATGATTCAAGGATCCTAAACTACTACTCTATCCATCAAGCTCACATAGCAGAGAAAAAACAACCTCATAATTTTCTACAATATGAAAAAGCTCACAGAAGAAAAGCTTTGAAGCAACATCCCAGCATTAAACAACGTACCAAAATCACACGTTTCACCTGTCCCCAGTTTTGATTTACCCCAAATAACTGGGAAAATCGTTCTACCCCTCCTAGTCCCTGCTTTAACCCTTATACCCCCCTTAAACACAAAAGGAAGGAGAGAGAGAGAGAGAGAGAGAGAGAGAGAGGAAAACACTAAAACTGCAACATCAGTTAGGCCATCCCCTCCATAAGCTACCTCTACCCTAAGCATATTTCCATGAGCATTTACTCAGCATCACTTGCTTAACAGCCCAAACTTAAATTAGAGGCTTCAAGTGTGACGACCACCAACGGGCTAGTTGCCTAGTGGTATCAACCTCTTACTTCCCAAAGGGAGGTCCGGGGTTCGAGTCTCAGAAGAGACGTGTATGCGAGTACCAACTAGGAAAAAAAAAAAAGTGTGACGACCTCTGTGTGCGGGTGTGAGACACTAGACAAGCTACCACACAGGCAGGCTACAGGGTGTCATGATCTCACATCGCCTGGGGAAGGTGAAGTGTTATATGCATGGTTCAACGCCCTTCTATGACACAATGCGTTTAAAGTTGTGATGGTCGTGAACCCATCAGAACTCCAAAGTTAAGCGTGCTTACTCTGGAGTAGTACCAGGATGGGTGACCTCCTGGAAAGTCTCTAGTCCGGAGGAGCCAAAAGCGGACAATACTGTGTCTGGGTAGGGTGAGGTTTGTTACAAATCGTATCAGAGCCGGAACCCTGCCGGAAGTGTGGCCAATAAGGACGTTGGGCCCCCACAGGGGGTGATTGTGATGACCTCTGTAGGCGGGTGCGATAGACTGGACGAGCTACCAAACTAGCATGCTACAGGGTGTCATGATTCCACATCGTCTGGGAAGGTGAAGTGCTATATGTAAGGTTCAACAACACCCTTCTTTGACATAATGCATTTAAAGCCATGATGGCCGTAAACCCATCAGAACTCCAAAGTTAAGTGTGCTTATTCTGGAGTAGTAACAGGATGGGTGACCTCCTGATCCAAAGGAGCCAAAAGCGGACAATATTGTGTCCGGGTAGGGTGAGGTTTGTTACATCTAGAATCAAATGCCTAGGGGAATTTATTGATGCAAGTATTTAGCATTGCCTAATTATCATCCCAAGTATATTTTTTATAATTATTCAACTTTTTAAAAACAGTATTGTTGTTTTATTTCTAGAATTAAGCATTTCATCAACACAACTCATACCATCAATTTAACTGGAACAGATTACGGCAAATCAATATGATAAATGTCCTATTCACAAATAGAATTTCTGGTAGGTTGATTCGAAAAACTGTTGTAGCATTAACACCAAATGTCCTTCTAAGTTGCTAACTTCTACTTACTATGTTATTTTCAGCCCTTGGAGGATGGTATGTGCTAGACTGCTAGCTCAATGACTGAAAATCATATCCTTTTCGCTGATATACTAGCAAATTTTGTTCATACAATTATAAGCAAAAAATTTCTAACAGTAAAGGCTGGAAAACCTTCTTCGTAGCTACAGAAGTTTACATGTAAAGTGGTACACGATGCCTCATTATCCAGCATCTAGACAATATACCACTATCCTACATGAGGAGCATGTAACATTATAATTTTTTTAGAATATTTCTTAAGCCAAGCATTATTAAAAAATAAATAAATAAAAAGAAGTGATGCAATGAAAACCCCATGCACCTTGCAGATAATCATGGAAAATGCAGCTTATTCCTCTTTTCTTTTCTCTGTTTGTATGCATGTCTTTTTATTTTTTAAATTTTAAATTTTTATTATTATATTTTAGTTTTATTATTATTATTATTATTATTTTGGGGGGAGGCCCCGCCGGGAAGGGGGGGGGGGGGGGTCTTAACAGATTAATTGTGCATGAGAGGACCGACAAAATGTAGATGTATGCCAGAATGCACAAGTGAGAAATGAAAGCTGCATCACATTAATCTGCCACATATGCTTGAACAGTTGCGCCATTAACTTACTGTTAAATAAACGTGTGCCCTGATAACTAGTGGAAGAGATCTTTGAGGATACATCAGTTCTCGTAACGGCCTCCGAAGAAGAAACGGAAGATCTTGCAGCCTCTGTCAAAAAGAGAGAACATTTTTCGAGTGTCAATGCACAATTGTTTGTTGCTGGTTCTGTGAAATGTGAATAAAATCATAATTGGTAAGAGATACAGAATGTTTCAGCCCTAGCAGTCGACAATTAACATCAATTATAAAAAACGATGTTGTCTTCATCATCTTATTTATCTTTACAGGCGAGTTTCAATCTTTTTTTGTTCTAACTTCGTCTCTCTGTCCTGTTGGCCCTTGTGGTCCTTTTTGCATCGGATGTGCCCCTTTAGAGCGCTCTTCAATTGAATAATCTTACTTATCAAAAAAAAAAAACCTTCATCTCTTTCTATTTGTCACTCAGTCTCTTTATTTTCATTAATATCTCTCTCTATTTCTCAGTCTCTATGTTCTATGTTCATCATACACACCCACACTGTGTTCTCTGTTAAATATACACTCACACACGAACCAAACCTCTAAACTGAACTGATCAGAACCGTTCACCCTGCTGTTGAGATTGGTTCAGTTTAGACAATTTGCTCAATAAGACAATTCTTTTTTTACTTACCCAAAAAAATAAATAATTTCTGTTCTGTTTGGTTCCAATTTTCTTAGACCGAAATGGTTCCAATTTATCCTTAACATATTCAAGCCGAACTGTGTGCACCTCTATACATTAGGCATTCAAGGAGTTCTCGAAGAGCCATGTCTCGATATTAAAAAACCATGGATAGAGTTACAATGACGGATGCAGATTTTTATTCTATAATTATTGGCAAAAAACTGACAACCACCAAAGAAAAAAATAAAATCTAAAATCTAAGAACTTGTATAAAGTACTTAAACCATCTCTGCCACGAACCTCACAAACGAGAGAGAGAGAGAGAGAGAACTGATTGAAGTTCAAATCCACAGCACTAGACAGGAACTGAGAACCTAATGAATTTTATTTTTTCAGAAATAATAAATAAGAAGTTGAAGCAAATTTGGCACCCAGTGGACCACCAATAAAGTTAATTAGTTCTTTTAAAACAGCCAAAAAAAAAAAAAAAAAGAAGAAGAAGAAGAAGAATAAGAAGAAAAGGAGTAAGCCAGATTGCTAACAAATGGTTTTATTGTCTAACAATTTGAAGAAAAGATGATATGAAATACTCATAACCCTTTCAGGCGACAAGAAAATATATATATACCTGCAAAGCTTAGTAAATAAATAAGTAGCTAGCGCATCAAGGCCACAAAAAGATGTTCAAAGTGTACCAATGGGCCATTAGCCCAATGGTACAACCTCTCCTCCCACCAAGGATAGGTGAGGGAGGGGTTCAAGCCCCATAGTGGGCAATTTGTGAAATGTGTTTGTGTGTACTTGCCTAACAAAAAAAAAAAAAAAACGATGTTCAAAGTGTCGTCATCAATTCCAAATTTAATTAACCAACTCTTACACAATACACAAGATAGAGCATGGTATCATACTATCATGGAAATGAATCCTCTACTACAGCAATGTAAACATTTAAAGATGGAAACAATAAAAAAATACTGATTACTGAGACAAGCATCACCATTTGAAGATGACATGATTTCCAAACTATATGTTGCTAGCCCAAGTAAATGTCATAAACACTTAAATGTACCTGATAGAGACCATTTGAACGTTGACCAAAATGACGATTGTATGTTTCAACCCTTCCTAGAATATCAGCAACTTGAGAATTATTACGTAGCTGTGACGAAGCCTGACTGGGAATCAACAAAGTAATTTGACGATAACATAGAGGGCATTTGCATGGATGAAATGTTGATCCATAATTCCAAACTTGCATAATACAATTACCTGAAGAAATAAATTAACCAAATTCAATTTCCTTGATAGCATAATACAATTACCGGCAGAGGCAGAGCTATTGACTCGTAGGCTTTTTTCACATAACATTCTTAAAATGATGATGGAGAATACTACATTCCTCCAAACTATCTAACTTCCCCATGTAACTATGAAATCTTGCGGTTCATAACAGGTTTCACCTTCATCACTTGCCTATATCTATTCTTAATACCATCTTCAATTCTCCTACGCAGTTCATCATCCAGCAAATTGGCCTCTTCTGCACAGTTCAGCACATCACATAAAAACTTGTATGTATATTCTCTCGGAATTGATCCACCATCAACCAACTCAACAAGAAAATCCCTCGCCTCTATGATCCTTCCTCCTTCACACAGAGCATGGATGACTGGGGTATAAGAACTTGTACCGGGTATCCCATGATTCATCTTTTGCATCCTTCGCAACATTTCAACAGCTTTATCAATCTCGTTAACAGCGCTGTAATATCTAATGAAAGAATTATAAGTAACTCGATTTGGGAGACAACCCTTTTTGGTCATGTCATCAAAAAGTTCCAAAGCCCTTCCAATTCTGTTAGTTTTGCAACAACCATCAATCAAACAGTTGTAAGTTACAACATCAGGAACAAAACCCTTGAAGAGCATAATTCGAAACAAGTGATTTGCTTCCCACACCCTCCTCCTAATGGCCTTCCTGCACCCAGTTTGCAGGCTACGCTTACAATAAGAACTAATCAATATTGTGTAGGTGAATGTATCAGGCGGGCATCTAAAACCCGGCAATTCCATTTGCCCCAGCAAAAACTTAGCTTTTCTGAAGTTTCCAACTCTACAAAGAGCATAAATAACCGTATTATAAGCATAAACATCTGGTTTGCAATGAAATTGCTTCATCCTGTAAAAAGTAGCCAATGCTTCATTAACCAACCCCTCTTCTCCTAGAACTTTAATCAAACATGTAACGGTCGAGGTAGTCACAATCCCACCTCTCTCTCCCCTTGCCATTTCGTTCAAAAATTCCCAAAGGGCTTTCAATCTATTCCCTCTGGCCAACACACAAGCCATCTCTCTGCAAGTCCTCTCATTATGTGTGAACCCAAATTGGGTCTCGACCCAATAGTAGAACTCCATTGCTTTGTCCAATCCTAACTCAACTTTCTGGGGGTCTCTGTAAGCAGCAGGACCAAGAACAAGCACACCTTTGAGAGCTCTATTGGATTCTTCCCGCAGATTTCTCTGTTTGAGAGGTGCTCGGTGCCGGAAACCTTTTTGACGAGCAATGGATCTTGTGGATTGGAAGAAGAATCTGGGTATGGATCTTAGAATATCAGAAACGGCTTCAACAGTCCATGGTTGATGGGAAGTGATAGAGGTGGGAGAAAAAGCAAGCTGAGCATCAAAGGGTCTATTTTGGATCATTATGGCCACTACTTGGTTTACGAGTGAAGTGAGAGGTTTTGATGAAATCATCGCTAGAGAGATGATTAATTCATTTGAACTTGTGAAGTGAACCCCTGAGAAAATCAATGTGGCAAATGCTCAAGTGCAGAACCTATGAAAGGCATCGAATTGAACTCAATTTAACTATTTAGGTGAACTCTCCCTACTCTGATTTTAACGGGGTTAATTTCACTCAAACCGCCTGAGGTATGATCATATTTCACTTAGATGAAGATTTGGTTTTTAACGACCACTTACACCCCCAATTAGTGGCTTAACAATTCACTTATACCTCAAATGTCAATTTTTGGTGTTAAATGACTATGTTAACCTTGACCTCATGTTGACTATTTTCTGTGACTAAACTGCCCCCAACACACATTTCCTCTTCCTCCTCCTCTCAGACAATCATCCCAATTAACCCACACCAAGCTCTGACCGAGTTTCTGTAAAGAGAAGATCAGTTATGGTAAGAGTAGAGCATAGAAATATATAATTTCAACATGATGCATTAATAAATTATTTCTAATGGCTTTGACAACAGTCAATGAGCATAGAAAAATCACATACAATTTCACGTGCATTAGTTTTTTTAATCATCGAATTCATACTGTTTCAGTGTACAGAGTCACTTACGTTTTATTCAAAAGATTCAACAGTCCAAAAATCATAAGGGTTTCTTCCAATTTGCTGAATCCACGAACCAACACCAACTTTGTATCAACAGAAAATTTGAAATCTTTCAGAAAAAGAGTCAAAAAAAAAAAAAAAAAAATTCAAGGAAATAGAAGAACATTGAACCACATGATTCCCAAAATCACAAATCAACCATCACCTCCTCCGACCATTTGAATCCTGTGACAGCGGCACCACCTCCGAGAGCGGCGTCGGCAGTGGCGAGTTCCGGCAAACGAGCTGTCCACCTTGCTCGCAAGCCGTCACAGCCAGTCAGTCTCCACCGGCTCCATCAAGCCGTCACAGCCAGTCCGTCACCGCCTTGCTCGCAGTTCATCCACAGCCGAGCTGTCAACCTTGCTCGCAAGCTCACCGCTGAGTCTCCACGGCCGACCCCGTTCTCACCGTTCCGAGCACACCGCCGTCCGTGTTCCGAGCCACCGCTGGGCCAGTGTGGATGATCTGCGACCGGCGATGAGATCTCAACCGCCGACCTCCCAACCGTCTCCGATTCGACTCCCAATTGACGTCGATATCAAGAGGTGTAGGCGGCGGCGACACCAACACCCGATCTCCCAACCCTCTCAACCGCCGACCTATATTCGCCTCCCCTGTTCTATTTATTGGGCTCCTCTCTCTCTATATATGTGAATCACTCTCTCTCTCTCGTCTGCAGATCTCAAATATGTGAATCACTCTCTCTCTCTCTCTTCACAAATATCAGAGCGGTCTCACTTTGCCACTCTACACTCTCGCCGCAGTTCCCCAACAGAAGATGGTGTGGGTTAACTGGGATTACTGTCTGAGAGGAGGAACAAGAAATGTGTGTGGGGGCAGTTTAGTCACAAAAAATAGTCAACACGAGGTCAAAGGATAGCATAGTCACTTAACACCAAAAATTGACATTTGAAGTCTAAGTGAAATGGTAAGCCACAAATCGAGGTATAAGTGGTCGTTAAAAGCCAAATTTTTATTCAGATGAATGATCCAACCTCAGGGGTCTTAATCCATTTTAATATATACCCCATTTCAATTAGGGGTGACAAATAGTCGGGTTGGGTCGAATTTGGGTTAGGTTAAAAATGGTCGGGTCAAACATGGGTCAAGACTCATATTCAACCCGCTCAGAATGGATTGAAAATGGACAGGTTAAAAATGTGCGGGTCAAAAATGTGTAGAGTCAACCCGTTATGATCCGTGGATCCATTAATTATTATTAGGGTCAACCCGTTAAGACCCATATAAATGTTTAAAAAATAAAATTTTCTTAAAAATTTTGAAATTTACAAACATTAAAAAGGAAAATGTAATTTGTATATTTGTGTAAAAAAAAAAAAAAAAAAAAAAAAAAAAAAAAAAAAACCCTGTGAAACCCGACTTACCCATCCAAAATATTGATATTTTAAAAATAAAAATTTCTTAAAATTTTTATTGTTTACAAACATGGAAAAGGAATATGTAATTTGTATATTTGTTATTAAAAAAAGAAAAGAAAAGAAAAGAAAAAAAGACCCTTGAAACCCGCACGACCCGCCTAAAATATGGGTTAGGACTGGCTAGATTGGGCCAACCCAACTTATAGCCCTTCGTGTAAGAGAGATATGAGGTGAGTGCAATATATAATAGATGTGTGTTATGTGTCTATTATGTGATGGGTGAAATATAAATAACTGTAATGTTTCACAAATATTCCATTTTTCGGCATTTTTTTTTTTTTTTTCGGCCCGAGAGACCTATGTGGTTCCCGGATTTTTTGGGTTCTGAAATTTATTTTTCGGTATTTATTAATTGTTTTAATTATTATTTATCAATTGGTAAGGGTAGAATTGGTATTTGATATAGAAATGGTATTGCTGTGAATTAGTGGCATTGAAGGGGCATTATAGTCATATCCTTGGTCAAACCTTTGACCAAACCTTTGTGTGACCCATACACAACCATGTGGCAGATTCCTATTATGCACTTGACTAAGTGCTCTCGGCAGAATGCTTCTGTCTTTTTTTCTTTTCTATGTTCTTCATCATCAAACCCATTTCCTTCCCCCATTGTTGCTCTTTTAGAGCTTGATTTTGATGACTTACGAAAGGGATTTTGGGGCTGCCATGGAATGAAAAATATTCTTTAAAGAGAGGGTTTTCCATTAATGTAATCATCAACCCCATTTCTTCTATGCTGAATTTCGAAATCCCTCTTTGAAGTAGGGATTAGTTGGTGCTTCAAGAGAGGGTTTTGCTCCTCTCTTCTTTTCCTTTCCTTTGGTGGTTCTTGGGTGACATTTGGTGATCCTTGGACCTTCAAATTGGGGACTGTTTTGTGGAGATTTGCTTGGTTTGAGGTAGGGATTACCTAAAGCCTACAACCTTTGTTTTTGGTGAATTAATTCTTTGAATTTAAGCTACCAACTTGTATAGAGTTTAGCCTTTATTCCAAGCATGTTTTGTGAAGTTCCAGATTTGAAATTCGTAGCTCCAATAATAGTGTGTGATATTTATTTAGAAATTAAGATAGTGAGCTCCCCTAAATGTTGATTTTGTTGTGTACATAAAATCTGAAACTTTAATAATTAGTATGATTGTGTTTTGTTGTTTTACAAAACTGAAATTTCTATGCTTGAATGACTTCAATTGTGGAGCTATTTTGAGGTAAGGATTGTTGTTGTTGGTGGTGCGCAAAAACTGAAAATCTTAGTTCTTATGATGGTGAGTATTATGTACTTAGAAACTGTATTTAAGCTCCCTTAAATGTTGATTATGTTTGTGTGCATAAACTGACATTTTAGTAATTAATTTGATTGGGTTGTTACTAATTTAAAAAAAAAAAAAAAAAAAACTGAAATTTTATTTGGAACTTACCTCATGTGGGGCTGTTCTATGGTAAGGATTATAATTAATGGTGTTGCTCAAAAACTGAGATTTGTAGCTTCCTTAATGGTGCGTAGTAGGTGCTTAGAAACTGAAATATAAGCTTTCTAAATGCCGATTGTGTTGTGTATAAAAACAGTAAAGTTAGTAATGTTCATAAATATGTTTTTTTTTATGTTTGCAAGCTGAAATTTATATGTTTAAATTGCCTCATTTATGGACATGTTTTGTTATAAGCTTGTTATTGTCATTGTTGTTGTTCAAATTCTGAATTGGTGCCTGGACTTTATAGCATGAATGATTATGTTACTGTGGTTTTCAAAACTGCCATATTTATTTGCCATTAAGT